TAAAGAGGAGGAGGTTCCGGAGAAGCCTTAAAGATCAAAATCGGAGTAAAGCGCCAAGTCTATGGAAATCAATCAAGATGGAATTTTTTTGCCACAAGAAAGACACAAATACTTTTTCTTTTGCTAACGATTTCATAACTCAATAAAAGCTAGATATATTTACAAATTACATATTCGCAGTTCTTTATCAAAATGTGCGAGAAATATACGAAAATAAATCTTCTATGAAAAATGTCCTCAATAAGATTAAAATATCTAAATCTTTTCAGAAATTTTAATTTAGGAAACAGTTTCAAAAGTAATTATAGATAATTAGGTATTGTTAACCTCCTTTGAGAATTCACTTGGCCTTATGTCAGATCAATTTTCACCCAACAACGTAATTCGATATCCCAGGACCCTTTCGTTTTTAATGCTTGTCCTAAGAATAAACTGTTATAAGCATAAAAGGCATAGGCAAATATCGCCTCTGCAGGTGGGTATAGCAGAAAAATGTATGTTTCTGAAATACATTTTTTGGAAAACATTGGTAGGCCAAGTAAATTATCAATACTTGGTAGATACCTTCAATTCGAGGATTTTAGAATAGAGTATGCAAGAATATCCAAAATAACATTTAGAGATTCCAGCAGGAATTGAACTAAATAAATATTGATAGAAAAGCTGCTCTTGTATAAAATAACCTGATGGGTTGATTTTCATAGCCTTTTTAAATGCACTCTTTTTTAGATACCAAAATAATGTTAACAAAACAAATCAAATCACATGGTAATAATAATGTAAGAAAGGGAAAAAATTTGAAATAATTTCAGTTTTATATTTTCAGAAATTTTTCGTCACTTATAATAAAATTATATACATAATATGCGAATATCACGTATATTTGTATAGTATTTCATTGTTGGAAGCTGATTTCAATTATACAGAGTGATTGATGGTCAATGGCACGTTAGACGCTTATGGAAAACAGAATATAGGATGTTTTTGACAATTTGCATGCCCAGATAATTGCTCCTGATCTATCAATCTAAAATAATTTCAACGATGCGACGTTGCCGCTTATACCAAAAAGTAATATAAGTGAAGTTTGATATTTTAAATGAGACACCTTGTATATTATTGCATTTTTCCCTCCGCTATTACTTTCTGATTATTTTTGTTTAATACTACCGTAACCATACCTATCTCTAGTGATTTTCGACTTATTGATTAATTTCTTCATTTTTTCTCCAAAACATAGCTCTAGTTGAATTTGTTTTACTACATCAATAAGGTTCGTAAAAAATTAAAATTTTGGAGACAACTTAGGGAGGTCCTGTATATTACTTTTGAGCAGGAAAATTTGTTCTACATTATACAGGGTAGGTCAATATTAGTAATTGTGCCACCAGGTACAAAAAAGATGAAAAGTGCACTTTTCCAAATAGAGCACCCTGTATATTATAAAATATTATGAAAGGCAATTAAAATCCCTTACAAATGATGTATCATGCTCGTATAAGTACCTAAATAGTAAGGTTTCAGAAATACAAGCAAGTTTCTGTTAGAATTGGATTATTTTGGGATATTTAATTGTCTTATGGCGTTTCCGATTGGTAGATTTGACTCGCACTGAGTGTATTTCCATCTCTTTGTCTCAGACTGTTGAAGAAACAGATAGAAATAGGTACATACATTTTCTTTGCACTCATTCTATGATCCAGAAACGCCATTGAATAGCTATGAAATGTCACGATGAAACCTATTGAGTAATTTAAACCACGTGATTTTCAAAAATGGCGGGTGATGGCAAATACTAAAACTAAGGACATCAAGGATTGAAAACAAATGCATAAGATGGGCCCCTTACCGCAATGTGTCATACGCAAAAATATTGTCAATTTTGTGTTTTTGTCTCTCTACTACTCACGATGTTTTTGACAGTTTAATCCAATGCAATGACGTCACAAAAGTCTCACCATAGACATCTATGGAAGTTATCATAGAGATCTATGCAAGTGGGTGGGTTACCTTGACTATTTCCCTCCTGTCAATTTTGACATTGTAAAAAATCACGTGGTTTGAATTACCTGATATGTTTCATCGTGACATTTCATAGCTATTCAATGGCGTTTCCGGTTGGTAGAATGAGTGCGAGGAAAATGTATTTCTATCTGTTTCTTCAACAGGCTGAGAAAAAGAGATGGAAATACACTAAGTGCGAATTAAATCTACCAATCGGAAACACCATTAGACAAATATCCCAAAATAATCCCATTCTAATAGAAACTTGCTTGTATTTCTGAAACCTTACTATTCAGGTATAGGAACATGATACATCATTTGTAAGGGACTTAAATTGCCTTTTATAATACTCTATAATATACAGGCTGTTCTATTTAAAAAAGTGCACTTTTCATCTTTTTTGTACCTGGCATCACAATTAGTAATTTTGACCAACCTTCTATAATGTAGAACAAATTTTCTTGCTCAAAAGTAATATGCAGGACCTCCTTAAGTTATCTCCAAAATTTTAACTTTCTACGAATCTCAGTGACGTAGTAATACAAATTTAACTAGAGCTGTTTTGAAGAAAAAATAAAGAAATTAATTAATATCGAAAATCACTAGAGGTAGGTATAGGACAGTATTATACAAAAATAATCAGAAAGTAATAGCGGAGCGAAAAATGCAATAATATAAAAGGTGTCTAATTTAAAATAACAAACTTTACATTACTTTTTGGTATAAGCGGCAACGACGTATCATTGAAATTATTTTAGAATGATAGATCAGGAGCAGTTACTTGGGCCAAATTTTCAAAAACTTCCAATATTCCGTGCCATCGATCATCAATCACCCTGTATAAGGTTTAATAAAGTTGACGTTTTTGAGAAATTGAAAAAAAAAATCTACAAGAAACAAAAACATGGAACGATTCATTGAATGAATTGTGTATTGATGATTCAATGACCAATCTGTTTCTAACTCATTGTTTCTTGTAGGTAAAATTATAACTTTGGAAATGTATATAGTTTTTGAATAATTTTCTTACATAAAATAGGTAGATATATAAAAACAACAATAGAAATTATCTTTGTTAAGCGAAGCGAATGGATTTTGATCGAGGTGCGAAATTTGTTGGGATTTTTTGAATGTTTCAAACATTTTCCGGATAAAAAATTCTTCAATTTTGAAATAGAAACCGGAATAATATTTATCGAATTCTGAAAAATAGATACTACTACTACTATAGATAGATACTACTTGGAAAATGTTTTCCGAAAAATGCAAAAATATTTTTTTTTTTAATATGCAAAAGCGTTAGAAATTTTACTTTTGGCTAAACTTAAGAGAAGACATTATACTCAGAATGCATGTATTTTCAAGAAAAATGTGGAGAAAAAATATCGATCTGTCCGGCGTGCAAAAATTAGCTTTTCAAATTTTTTTTTTAATTGTAAATTTTATTATTAAATGTAATAATTTTTATAATTAGTGGTACTAAAGTTCGTATAACTAAAGTTACCTGGAGCAGAGAAATCTTTGCAACGAAAAGTTCACACTTTTGTTCACCCATAACGAAGCACTAGATTAGCAAAAAAGTAGCTAAAAAACGGCCCGCAGAAAATATATTTTCGCAAAGTTAATTATTCGAAATAATGGATATGTTTTTTACTTATAAATATCCAGAACTGCACCCTGCAAAAAAATATTCTCGCGCACACCAAAGATTGGCAGGTAGTACCGATCAGTCAGCAACTCAATAACTCGTGTCCTATATATTTTTTGACGAATGGGGTAAAGAAGTCGCGGCGGCGACTTGCAGGAGCGCGAAAGTATTGTTGGTTTTACCGAGAGTTTCAGAAAGGTGGGGAATATCTGATATTGTCCCCGGGCAAATTCGTGCATTTGGCAATACCACTAATTTTTAGTTGTAAGGCCGCCTCACAGAGTTCACTATTCTATTCTGAATAAATAAATAAATAAAAGAATAAACTAGGTATTTCAATTTAAAATTCAAAAAAACATCAATAATTCAAAGTTAAATAAAATAAACAGTGTTGTCACTTTTTCACGTACAAATGGCAACACGAAAAATATTTCGCAAGTGCTACAAAAATCCGGAGCCCCCTGAGAGGAATAGATGTGCGCATGCCTTTCATAAATATGAATATCTAGGTACCTAGATATTTTTGTTGTAAGATAATGATACGATATACAATTGATATATTTGGCATAATAAGATATATAAGAAGGGGTTTAAGCACTTTGCTTTTTGTCCGTTTGAAACATTCGAAATCACATTTCGCAAAAGTTACCATTAGGGATCTGCTACTTTTCCATTTGAAAGTTCCATTCAACGTAAAAGCTTAAAGCAAATAACATCTCTAGTATCTCTTTGCTCATGTCAGGGCTGGCACGAATGGTATTAAAAACGTTGATAATGCGCAGTTATGCTCTTCGCCAGTCGTATAGACAAGTTTTTTGATGACGCCAGAAAAAAAACTCCAAAGGATAAAGATCCGGCTATGAGTAGGGACCACCTCTGCGTGATCAATGTTCAGGATATTGTCGATCCAAATAAAAACACGTACAACAAGGTGAATAGACTCTCTACAACCAGAACAATCTCTTTGCGATAAGCACCTTCTTGAAAGGCATGCCTTGGAGAAGATCACGGATCACGGAGCAACACCGAGCTGAAGCTAACTAACGAGATTAATCATTTTATTACTGCACAAGTGCGCTTCAGTTGTAGATAAAATGTTCGTCATTACACAAAGCTGGCGAATTGGAATTCAATGCAATTCAACTAAAGATTTTTTTTTTTGAAATCGGCTTCAAATGCCTTAGACCTTACTCAATGATTACTCATTTATTGTGTTAGTGGACTGAAAGATTTAGTAGGAAGTTATTCACACGATAAAACCTATTTGAAAAATCTCATTAACTTACGGGCGCGCTTATCAATACAATAGTTTGTGGTATATAATAACTAGGTATACCTACTATCTTACCTGTATTGCTAAAGCTTTGGTCTCTGGCGTAACTGTGTCTTGAAATAAGTCTTTAAAGTCCCTCTGACCGTTAGACATAAATTCTTTGGCGGTAATTTCGAAATTTCGAATTTCACTTATACATTTTTTCGCCAAATCAGGCGAATTTGAACATTGTTCAATTTTTTGGGATGCTAGCAAGTCGATACCAGTTGTACACCAAGTGTTAGCCTGAAATTAAATAATAACCTAGGATAATAACTTTATAAGTGGATGTTTGAAAATGGTAATTATTTATTGGAAAAGAGGATAGTGGGGGAATCATGCCCACCGGGAAATAACGCCCACACGTATATCTATTAAATGGCAACATTTACAAGCAGAGAACTGGTAGTGCCGTCTTCGGTTACTATTAAAACAAATTGAAACACTCTGCAGCGTTGCATTTTTATCACGTTAAAATTTGTGCACGTGTTCAAGAGCTTCCCCTATTCTATTTTAGGATTTGTCAACAAATATCAAGGTAAATTTTAAAAATAAATTGTGATATTCACATAAAATTTAGGATCACTTAATTGTTATTATGTTAGCCAATAGTAGGTTTATACTCCAGTCAAAATAAACAAAAAAAAGGTGGTTGAATAACAAAAATTCGCATAGAGCTGAAAATTGGTACAGGTCTTAAATACCTACACTAATATATAATATCTCAAAAAATCCCCACCCCTCCCACGAGTGCTAAAAAAATAATTATTCAGGGTCAAAGGTTAAAAAATGTTTTTGCTTTTTTCCCCTAAACGGTAAGCGTGATCGTAAATATAGCCAGCCAAAAGTTGTAGAGCATAAAATTGTCTACAAAAATGGTTCCTAGACTTTTTTTCTACGAATCACCATTCCTGATATAAGGCGATTCCAAAAATTGAAGAAGTCGTGTTCTGCATAATATGGACACATTTCCCCACCACGTTTTTTTTTAACGTGGTATTTCCTTGCAGGCCAGGCCTAGTCCACGCTATTGTGGTTAAATTTATTACACCCTATTAATAAAATAAAAAATGGTGCTGATGCTAATGATTAAAGTAGAATTGATTATTGTTGATTTCGGGAAAATTTCAATCTTAATGGTGATTTTCAAATGCTACTTCAACAGTAATGTCTTCTTCGCTTTGGTTTGCTTTGCCTCTTTTTGCTGAACCATGGATTACTATAGGTCTTATCTCAGCAATTAAAAAACGAGATAAAATGAAAAAATTACTCTTAAACAAGAACAGTCCGCAAGCTAAAGAGGATTACATTAATTATAGAAATAATCTGAACAAAATTATTAATAAACAGAAATTTAATTACTATAAAGCACAAATAGATTCAAATCAACATAATTTTAAAAAAATATATAATATAATATCAGACGCAGTAAATGAAAATAAGGTATATTCTGAGAAATTAGAAATAAGGGATGAAAGTGACAAATTGTTTGTGGATGAAAAGCAAATGGCTGAATATTGTAATGTTTTTTTTATTGACATAGGCAGGAAAATGGCTAATAAAGTGAAACCACCGACTGTTGCTTCTCAAATAGAATACAACGCATTAAGCTCTATGTTCTTAAAACCTGTTGATAAAATCGAAATAATTAAACATATCAATTCCCTAAAAAATTATTGTTCCCCTGGCTGTGATGGAATACAAACTAAAATGATAAAAAGATATTATAAATATTTTATTGACCCATTGGCACATATAATAAACCTAATATTTACAACAGGATCTGTGCCCGAATGTTTTAAAACTTCTATTGTTACTCCCATTTTCAAAGCGGGTGACAAAAAAAAAATAACAAATTATCGGCCTATCAGTGTTATCACAAATTTTGCAAAAATATTTGAAAAATGCCGCAAGGAGAGGCTTTGGAATTTTTTATCAATGAATAACATTTTATCAGAAAATCAATATGGGTTTCGAAATGGTATTAGCACTGTTGATGCTATTCTCAGACTCACAAGAGCAATCACAAAACACCTTGATAGTGGTAAAAAATGTCTAACTGCTTTTCTTGATCTTGCGAAGGCCTTTGACACAGTGCCTCATGACTCTCTTATTGATGTTTTAAACATTTATGGGGTCAGAGGTGTTGTGTTGGATGTCTTTGCAAGCTATTTGACAGGTCGAAAGCAATTGACAAAAATTAATAATGTATTAAGCAATAGCTCGGAGGTTCTGATTGGCATTCCTCAAGGAACAGTTATGGGCCCTTTGCTTTTCTCATTATACATTAACTCCTTGACTAATATTCCGATAGATAATGGCATGGTGATATCCTACGCGGATGACACCGCTGTGATTTTTACAGGAGAAACATGGGAAGAAGTATATACACATGCCTCTCATGGGCTACATAATATTAAAAATTGGCTTGATACTTTTAAACTCACTTTGAATGTTGAAAAAACTAACTATATAGCTTTCTCCTTAACAATGGCAAATCGCCCCAATTTTGATGGCATTAGGGTAGACGGATTTGAAAGAGAAATTAGAGAGGTGCAACATACTAAATATTTAGGAGTAATTATTGATCAGAACCTCAAATGGAAGCAACATGTGACTAGGTTGACTAGTAATATTAGAAAATTAATTCGTAAATTTTATATGATAAAAGAAATATTAAATGAACATCTTTTAATCTGTGTTTATAGAGCTCTGGTAGAATCTCTCTTGAGATATGCTATGATTGTATGGGGAAGTTCATATGAAAATGCACTAAAACCCCTGAAAACAGTCCAAAATTATATTCTCAAGATTATTTTTGGAAAAGATAAAATGTTTCCCACCTGTCAACTTTATAGTAATAAAATCCTCTCCTTAAGGTGTTTGTATGTGTTGAGTGTCTGTTCTTATATGTATCAAAATGTCAAAATAGTGGGAGAACATGTCAGTCACTCCTACTCCACCAGGTCCAATGCTGTAAGAGACCTACAGATACCTAACAGTGCCACTAATTTAAATATAAGATCTATTGAATATCTTGGTGTTAAAATCTACAACATCCTACCAGTGGAACTCAGAAGGATGACAGTTAACAAAAAAAAATTTATGCATAACTGTAGAGACTTCATATATAGTAACTTTGTCAAGTTTTCATCTTTGTTTTAACCTTTTAATCAATCAGGCGGAGAATTGTTTCCCTTTTTTTCTTTTTCTTCTGTCATGGCGTACACTAAAAATTTTTGATTATATTTAATTAGTATTTAGGCAAATATTTTAAGTTAGAAATTATCAAAATCCAGTTTTATATGTAGTAGGTACATACAGAAATTTAGTTTTCTAGGTACCCCACAACACTATGTTGATATAATTTAAAGTATATTATACATTCCATAATTATTATTGTAAATCTTTTAAAATTGTAATAATATATTGAATTGAATCTGTAAATCAACTGGTCTAAGATAGATGTTGTCTCCTCATCAAAATCCTCATCTGTATTTGGATGTACGTTTTTCAAAAATTTTGAATACTGTTCCTTTACCCCTTTTGAAAAGTACAGGAATGGTAACGCAGCCAGTTATTGCATGTAAAAATAAGACATGAGATTGCTTGCTTCTTGCTATGTATGGTGCTCCAAAAAGAATTGATTGTATGTATAAACAAGTATAGATATTTAAGCTTTGTTAAAAATACACGGAACAATAAAATGGTACAACAATGTCTTCCTCCAACATCTACTTCTGCTTATCAACACCTATATCATGTATACTATCAAGTTCAATTGTATTTAGGTAATCAACTGGACCCAGAAGACTGGGGTTGGAAATTTATACATTATACTTTGGAGCCAACTGAAACCTTACTCCCACCTGCTCCAGAAAAACTACTTAACACAATTTTTAGCAATTACAAAAAGGATATGTATAAATTGTCAAGGCTAGTCTTGCTTCAATATTGATCCGATCCAAATACAGATGAGGATTTTGATGAGGAGACAACTAATGCATTTATCTAAGACCAATTTACAGATATTCAGCAAGACGAGGCAGAAGAAAGCGGAGAAGACATTGCTGTTGAAGTAGCATCTGAAGATTACCATTCCATTCAAATTAAAATTTTACCAAAATCAACAATAATCCGTTCTACTTTAATCATTAGCAACAGCACCATTTTTTATTTTATTGATAAGGTGTAATGAACTTAACCACAATAGCGTGGACTAGGCCTACAGGGAAATACCACGTTAAGAAAAAACGCGCCAAGCACGCTACCTCAAAGGTGGTGCGGAAATGTGTCCATATTATCCAGAACACGACTTTGTGTTTTTGGACTGTTCATTTTTACTGAAGTATTAATTACCCCAACAAACCGAACTAGCTTTGTTCACGGACAAAATCCCAAACGTATTCTGAACGCTAAAACATGACCTACGCAAATTTACAAATCATAGAAACGTAGAGCTACTTCAAATAATACTTGCGTAGGTCATGTCTTATAGTGTTCAGGATACGTTTGGGATCGTCCTTGTGAACAAAGCTAATATTTTCAGTTCTGATGACCTGTGACTCTTACGATTCATTACGCATGATTCGAAATTAGTCGAGAATAACAAGAGTTGGAATATGCTCTTGTACATGCATAGAAAATTGCAAGCTCACAAAATCAAACACAACTAGGACAACGATTAAAACGAATTAACAAAGAAGATTGAATAATTCTGACGTCTACACATTTGAAAGATTATTTTGAGGAGAAGGAATGCAAGAAGCTGGCAAGTGAAGCTTCTAAAAGAAAGAAGGAGGGGACCGATAAATCAATGGAAAAGTCAGCTGGAAATGAAAGAAAAAAAAAGTTGCAATTAAGGTGCTGATTTATAATCAGCACCTCAACTGGAAGATATTGGCGGGATTCAGAATGATCACTCTCCCCTACATATTATTCAGAAATAATCTAGACATTTCACTAACTAATAGTTAGTAGCTGGAGTTTATCTTACCTCTTCCACTCTTTCCATCAGTTCTCTGCTCTTGAACAGCATTTCTTTTCTTTTCGACAATCTTGTAAGTAACATGTCTTTCATTCGAAGTAATTCACTACATTTTGGTTCTACACTCTCTATAGGACATGATTTTTTGGCTCGCATAAGCATTTGACCTAATGATATAGCTTCTTCAGCCCTTTGAATATCACCTTGACACAGCTTCTCGAAACCATTAGTTTCTTTTATTAGAGTGTCCACCCTGGCAACTGTTTCGCCCAATTCTGTCATATCAGAAACTGTTTTTAAAGCTAAATCAAAATTTACTTGGAGTTCTCTAAAGTTCTGTTCAAATCGTCTCAGTTCTAAGCAGTTGCGTAGTTTTGTTGAGTGCTGGTGCCAGAATCCATCGAATGTTTTTTCAGTTTCTTCTAATTGAACCAGCAATCGTTCGACTGCAAAAACGTTTCCGATCATATCGGGAACCGGACTATCGGTATCAGGTGAATTTTTGGCTTTAATACTGCTCAGTAAAGACTCTCCAATTTTGGCTGCAGATAAAATTTCTTTTTTAAGATCGGAATAAGATTCATTTTGTTTTATTAATAAATCCTGAGTTGAATCAACATCATTCGGAAGCTCCGTTTCGTCAACTGATTTGGTGAAATCGTCTAAAGCGTTCGATACTTGTTGAGTTAGAGAATTGAAATTTTCTAATTCTATTCGTTGATTTATCCAATCTTGATGGTTATACGCCAATGTTCCTTTCAAATCGTATGTTAGTTGATGGGGATTTACGTATTCATGTAATTCTTCGGCAGTGCTAAGTACAATCATACGAAACTTGAACTCGTCTTTAAATAATTTATTGCTAACTTCAGATAATGCTTTTTGAAGAAAACTGGCCGGTCGTAATACATAAACTACATGTATAAGTCCTGGGAAAAATACCGATATTCTCAGTAAAACTGCTTTCACTGAATTCCATCGGTCCTTACGTCTATCTATCACTAAATGGAAGCCCATATCTGCCTCTTGAAGCCTAGAAGAGAAATAATTTGATTATTTATTTTTTTCTTCACAGAACTGTATTATATTACAAGTTTCACATTGAAAGACAGTAGGGATATTCAGCAAGTTCGCTGAGACGCGATAGCTCTGTTCCAACAGACATGAGAACCGTTCCAGAACCAGTTGCGCACCTATCTTTCAATAAGTTGAACGTTTATTCTAATTGACAAATGAATTGATCGACTGGAACTTACCCTTCTAGAACGGTTCTCATGTCTGTTGGAACAGAGCTTATACCATCAGTTTTTTCGAGAGTTCGAACAAAAACTTGGGTGTTACTGATTAGAGACCTTGAAATATATATATATTTTTTTTTGATACTGATGACATTGATATTTGCAAGCTTTTTTGTAATAGAACTTGGAAGTTTACTCAAGTAAACTTTATTTGCAAAAAATACAGCACAAAGAAACTAATATATTCTATTCATCATCATAATAGTCGATCACTCGATACCGAGTATGATTATCAAACAATCAGCAAGTTAACTCGAGCTTTTTATCCTAAAATGGCGGCGTGCGCAGAAAAGATGCGCCTGAGAGTTAACCTGCTGATTGTTTTTGTACGTGCTATGCTTTCACAGTCTTGGCACACCCAGTCTCTGGAGGCATTGCCTCTTCCTCTCTTCTCTCGCCCTTCCTTCAGTACCTCTTTTCGGTCTCGTGTCTACGTCGCTGTTCTTCAAAAGTTCGTGGTCCATCGTGGACTACTCGACGCCATCAGGGCCTATCATTTGCCGAAGTCTCCCAGTTGGTGGTATCGATGCGGCACTTTGCCATATTTTCCTTTATAACATATCTTTGTAGCGTTTTGTTGACCTCCTTGACTTCGTTCTCCCTCTTTCAGTTGACTGTAGAGAATCTGACGTGAAAGACGTTTTTCGGGCATGCGGACGGGATGACCTGTCCAGCAAAGTTGGTGCTCAATGATCAGGGCTTCCATGCTAGTTGTTTTGGCCTTCTCTAAAATACTAATGTTTGTTCGTCCGTCTTGCCATTTAATCCGTAGGATCCTTCTTAGGCGTCGTTGGTGGTATTTTTCTAGGCTTTTTATGTGTCTTCCGTAGGTGGTCCATGTTTCGCAGCCATATGTAAGTGTTGGTATCACCACTGCATTGTAGACACGAAGTTTGGTCTCAACGCTGATATCGTGATTGTTGAAGACTCTCTCTAGAAGTCAAGCAATGTTGGATTTTAGCGGCAATGGTTGCATTCACTGACAGATGGCTCCCAAGATATGAGTAGTGTTCTACGCTCTGCAAAGAATGGTCATTTATAGTTATATTTGAGGCTTGGGAATTAATATCCGGTGCAGGTTGGTGCAGAATCTGCTTCTTCTCAAAGTTGTCATCTACGCCGATTCTCCTGTATGCCTGGTGGAATGGATTGATAATTGCCTGAAGATCTTCCTCTGTATTGGCCATCACGACGTTATCATCCGCATATTGAAGTTCAAACATCGATGTCGTCGATACTTTCGTCTTGGCTCGTAAAGTGTTTAGGGTGAATAAGCCGCCATCAAGTTTGTAGAGGAATTCCACTCCTGACGGCAGGTGACCCTCGACAAGGTGAAGTATCGATCCTATAGATAGAGAAAACAGAGTGGATGCAATAACACAGCCCTGTTTAACGACTATAGCTATTTGAAAAGACACTCTTTGTTTATCTCTGCTTAAGACGGTTGCATTCATATTATCACGCAGCAGGCGGAGAATCTGTAAGTATGTAATTTTGCGGACTACCAACCTTTGCCAATATCTTCAAAAGAGCTTCTCTGTCGACCGAATCAAATGCTTTCAACAAATCTATGAAGGCCATGTATAGAGGGCGATTCTGTTCCCTGGATTTCTCTTGCATTTGTCTTGCACTTAAGATCATGTCAGCTGTACTTCAGTTGAGTCTGGCTTTAGACTCTATCTTAGACTGTGTCTCTGGAAGGTTCTCTTCGGCAGTTGGTATTAAAAGATTTGATATTATCCTGGCAAGTATCTTTTCCGCAACACAAAGTAAATATTCCTCTGTAGTTTCCACATTGAGCCTTATCTCTCTTTTAAATATGGTAACTATGGAGGCAACTCTAAGTTCGGCAGGTATGGTCTCAGTAATCCATATTATTTTACTTATTAGGATGTGAGTTTGGGCAGTAAGTTTGGGGCTTTCTTGTTCAAAGAATTAAGCAGGAATGCCGTCAGTACCAGCTGACTTATTGTTCTTTAGCGGCCTGATTGCCTTTTCAACCTCCTCTAATCTAGGAACCGCGCTCAGTTCTTGTTGCATGGGTTTCTGTAGAATTTCGTTGAAGATATCATTGATTTGTGATTCTCTGTTGAGTAGTCCCTGATCGTGTTCCTTCCAACGAGAATAATTAATGGGAGAACTATCTTTAAGTAGTCTTGTGCTATCTTTGGATCGTAAGGGATTGGTCCGTATACTATCTCAGTAGCCTGAAAGAATGCCCTGGTGCTGTTGGATTCAGCTAGTTGCTATTATGGAACCTACGAATCACGAACTCCACTTTATGAGAGAAATAAAATTAAGTTTATTAGAATATGAGGTGGAAGGAGTTGGTTATTCATGTCACTTGCCTGTTGATACCACATTTCAAAACAGCAGAGGCGAAGAGGTGGTTCAGCTGAACAAGCTTAACACTGGGAAATTCGTTTGTCTGCACAAACTTTTCATTGTGAAATAAAGGCTTTGCATTGATTTCGTTCGAAATTCTGCTCGAGGAACACCTTGAACAGGTGATACTAAAAAATCGTTTTTTTTTAAATATGTAAAATATTCATAGGTGATTTAATAATTTCATCTCTAAACTGAATGATGCGGTGAATTCGAGAATAAGCTATCAAAATAAATGTTCTGTAAATGTAGAACCCATTCCTTAATGCATTCTACCTTGTGTCCAGGAATCATTAAGCCATTCCACTATAGATTTCGGCACCCGCCTCAATTTTGATTGGTCAATTTTGAGTGCAACTATAGAAGGTGCGGAATTACGTCGCAGATTGTTAGAAAGGTGCCCAAGGCGAGAGTGCAATGTCAAATGCTTCAGTTGATTCATTTCAAGCTGCCGCTGACCCTATATGCCAATACGTGGTGCTCAATGTGATAGTGAATAAGTGCGAACGATGCTGAATCGCGGAGTGGAATGTAGAATTGATTGGAGATTATATTATGTTGATTTGTTTATCGCATTGAGCAGTTTTGTTGCGATCTAATCAATAACATCCATGATAAAATGGAAAACATATTAAAAATCAAAATTTTATAGAAAACTATTATGTATGTTCATACTATGTGTAAATTACATATTTTCTAAAATGAACTACAATGATATTATATACCTAATTAAATGTTTTTAATTGAAGCAACTCAAAAAGAAAAAAAGTTACCTATTTGAAGAACTTCTACATTCCAGTAGTAAGCCCCATGCCATGCGTAGCGCAACAATAATCATGCGATACGGCATTGCACTCTCGTTTAGGACACCGTCCACATTCTACTACGTGATTCACCACTTCTGTAGTTGCACTTATGCATAATGAGTATGAACATTCCACCTATGATTTGAGCACTGCCCACACATTCCACTAAGCATTTCGGCATCATATCAAAATATTATTTAAATCTGCCAATCGCCTTGAACTTCCCTGTCCATTCGCTCGCACGCCTTTTTCAGTTCAGCGACTTCGGAGTAAGCAACATACCTAAATACCTATGCGTGCATCGCAAATTTCAAAATTAAACTTTACGGTTTTAATGGACCACCCTAATATGCTCAAGCAGATTTCGACTGTATCCGGTTTATTATGATTATTTCTCATTTTTACTAGGAAAAGAGCCAAGACCCCAATGTAGCGCAAAATGATTTCTAGGACGTTCAATGGACTTCCAATAAAGTGTGGTGAATCGCAGAGTTTCATATTTCTGCAATTTACGACAATATGACATGCGGTTTTATTCCCACCGATGAGGTCATTGATTGAGATGAATAAATTTAATTTAGCAGTTCCTAATCTCATCAGTACAACATCTGGGCTTTTCATAGGTCTGTTGTTTTTGTCGTCTGTCATTGATCGGTAAAAGTACAATTAACCATCGTTCATTATTTATACCGGACTAATGAATTTTACATTTTTATTTTGATGACATCTATTTTATATGGTATTTATAGGTCGTTTCTTTTAATTTTTTTATAGATATGGGTAATTATTCATATTGAATTCTTACTATATATATATATTTTATCAGAAGGAAAGAGGGTAGATTTACTTACGTAGGCACTGAAGTTAAATACAACATTAGGCGCTGATATTCGACATCCGAAAGCATTTGAAAATTATTGTTATCGGGAAAAGTTATGATTGGACAGCCATCGTTTGATTTGCCACCTGAGATAATTGCATAATGGTGTTGCAGTAAGTCGACCACATCCTTCAATCCTAACGGTTCGAGGCTTATCGTGTTCTGCATTTCAATTTCTTCGCAGGATGGTAGAGCGTCTTCTGTAACAATCAAGCAAAATTTCGAGTTAAAATAAATATTGCCTATTCATAAAAATTTCAAAATGATTTCACTTTATACTGTGTGTTCTCAAGGAAAACAGTTTACTGGAGTTACTACATTTTTGACGTGTAAACATCTTTGTCGATTGTATGAGGGTAAATCTCGGGAAATCGGGACGGAAGTGTAAAAGCGGATGTGACATGCGCAGTGATTAGTGCGCAGCTACTTCAGCGCTTGCGGCCTAAGGTGGCATTAGATTTTCATGTCGATGATGTCCATATAATAGATGGCTTTGAATTTGTGCAGTGAATTATGCCCGTTTCAACTTTCATGAAGGGATAGAATAGTCATTCCGGATGTCCTAAATTCGGAAAATGGTTTCCACCAGTCAACATTTTGGCATTCCTAGCTCGAAGTATCGAAAGCACTGGCAACATCCCAAAACATGGAGATTTTCATCAATTTTTATCGGCTTCCTTTTTATTTGTCATGTTTGATATTTTTGATTTTGATCGGAGTAATTTTCTATGAAGTATGGAGTAATTCTAGAAAATATTTAAAATTATTAGCTATTCGCTAACAAAATTGAAATGGTACATATTTTATCAAAGTTAGATTATCCATAGCATCAAAGTGGTTATTCCTGTCGTATATTCGTCAAGGAAAACCATTTTGCACTAGATCTAATATTTCCAAATCGTCGTCAAATAGGTATATCCATTTTTAATCAAAGATAACACATACTTTGGTCCTGATACACGTATACCTACTTGAAAGATGAAAATACTGTAAAAGTGAGGTGTGACCATTCGGACCATTCCCTTGCTAGGTGAAATTTCAGGTGAAGAATGTTAGACCCCTAAAATTAGGATGTCCACAATAATCACATGATTTAGAGGTGATAGTAGTATTCTAAATAATATTCTGCTCATGTCCTTTGAGTGTTTTTGGAAGTGAACACTAACGACACAACCATATTTGCAAAACCCGGTAACGGATACTTGATGGCAATAATTTATTATAACCATTATTTGGATTTACTCGCACTAGAAATATTCGTTAGCTTTCTATATTCGTATCATAATTAGGTTCAACGTAAGTTAAGGTGTACATATTCGGGATTAAACTTTATGAATTTCACTTGAATCCTTGGAATAAATAGAAACTTTATCTGTGTTTGAATATTTTTGCGAGTTTTACTGGGCGTTAGATTGGTCGACCCGGTCTAATAGAACGGCCGGTCAGATCTCCCGATTTGACCACGTTCGATCATTTTCTGTGAGGCTACCTTAAATCTGAAGTGTAAATATATCAATACTCCGAACAATATAAATCACTTTATTGATGTCAGAATAAGAAAACATCAATAGAATCTCAAGAAGTACATAATGTTTTGCAAGAATTGCAAGAACTCGAAGATCGTCTCGCGTAGTGCAAGGATGTTGGAGGTGGTCAATTCCAACATTTGATAGAAAACCTTCTACCTAGTTTGCTCTTTGTATTTTTTGAAAGTAAATAAATTTAAATAATATTTATTCTTATTTCTCTCATTATGTAGTATAGTATTTTTAATTTGAATTGAAACACTAAAAAAACATCTAAGCCGTTTTCTCGCGTTCACTTTTTTGACATTGGTTCAAAACTGGTTTGAAACGGAGAATGGTGTTTCCATTGACTGTTTCAAACTGGTTTTGAATTAATGTCAAAAAAAGTGGACGCGAGAAAACGGCTTAGATCTTTTTTTAGTGATTCAATTCGGATTAAAATTACTATACCTACCTATACCTATGGAGTTTACCTAAGTATAAATAAAGTATTATAATATATAAGTTATATTTAATCAGATTTTTACGTAGAATCTGGAAATGGAATAAAAAATTGGGACTTGAATTTAGAAAAGTGAAAGACAGTCGATATCTTTTTTTGATGCCACCCTGTACAGGGTGGTCCAAATTGGACACTTTCTTATTAGTCTAGGAGGCAGTGACGATTTTCGGCACTTATTTTCCCAGTCAGACAACATGGATAGAATTGTAGAGTTAGTAATTCTAAGCAAAATTCATATATTTTTAGGGGGAATTTTCCGATGGGTTGAGGCGCAAAATGCGTTAGAGCTTAGGAATGCACGGCCCTTTTTTTTCCAGTGATAAAAATAGGTCTACTAATGAGAAGTATACTGAAGTTACGTAAAAAAATAGTCCGGCTAATCTGTGAGTATGGATAATACGTCTGGCAAGTGAAAAATTGAAGATCCGAAAAATTTCAGCCAGGCTCACTTTCCATTATCTGAGATAAGCCAAATTGCTATTTTCATATACCTACGTTATGTTCTATTATAGTGAATGTGAAATATCTATAACTGGTGGGAAAATAAGTGTACTTGTATTTTTCATTGATCTTGTGAACTTATCCGAAAATTTTTGAGAACTAACTATTCAATATACACCAACTGGGAAAATAAGTGCTAAAAAATTCCACTGCCTCCTGAACTATATGGAAACACCCTTTATTTTTAGAGATAGGTAGAAAAAAATGGACCCCCCACTCTGAGGCTCAAATTTCATGAAATCTTTATTGGTGCAAACCGCATTTTGATATTTTCAACCGTTTAGCCGCTAGAGAGCGATTCTCGATTTTGAGCAATATTGTAAAGCTTCCATAACTTTTTTGTTTATGAAAATAATTCATTTCCGTAAAGACTTTCTAGAAGCACTTTTTCAAGCAAAATTCAGTGACGTTCTCAGTTTTTTTCTGTTTGGCTTCAATTTCAAGATATTGACCAAAATCCGATTTTTTCAATAGGACACCCTATATATTAATAGCTCATTAGAAAGCTCTGCTTTTGCTGATTTCAATGATATATAGTTTGTCTCTAACGGTTCTCGAGAAAAAAAAAATATTTCGGTTTTTGTCATAAGAAACAATGTGTTGGAGAAGGACTTTATCTCTGTAAGGAAACTGAAAAAGGTCTCTTTCCAACACATTGTTTCTTATGACAAAAACCGAAATATTTTTTTTTTCTCGAGAACCGTTAGAGATAAACCTATCAAACCTTATATCATTGAAATCAGCAAACGCAGAGTTCTCTAATAAGCTATTAATATATAGGGTGTCCTATTGAAAAAAATCAGATTTCGGTCAATATCTTGAAATTGAAGCCAAACAGAAAAAAACTGAGAACGTCACTGAATTCTGCTTGAGAAAGTGATTCGAGAAAGTTTTTACGAAAATTAATTATTTTCATAAACAAAAAAGTTATGGAAGCATTACAATATTGCTCAAAATCGAGAATCGCCCTCTAGCCGCTAAACGGTTGAATATGTCAAAATGCGGTTTGCACCAATAAAGATTTCATTAAATTTGAGCCTCAGACTGGAGGGTCCATTTCTTTCTATCTCTAAAAATAAAGGGTGTTTCCATAAGAAAGTGTCCAATTTGGACCACCCTGTACACCTACATAAAAATTAGTTGGAAATCTGCTAGCGTTAACCTTTCGACACTTTCGACTTTTTTTGGAGTCTCTGTCAAGACTCTTTTAGCATAGTGGACTTTTGTAGGTATATGGTAAAGAGCAACTATATTAGAGCAAATGTAGGTACACATACTACTCAAAAAACACATTTGTCTCCAATTAACTGATTTTTTTGGCGGCACAATTTAATGAATTCTTTCTCATACGTGTGCGGAACAAATCGATTTAGCTAAGGGCAGAATGGACGAACATGAAACTTTACGGGGATGATGTTTCACACAAAACACTAATTAGTTTTTGCTTCCAAGCAAATCGCATAATTTGAAATATATATATTTTTTAAGTATGTGTGGATCGGATTTAATGCTTTCGATTTACGATCTAAAGTTCCAGCATTATAATGGTATTGATGAATTGATCAATAAACATTCCAAAATTCGAATGTGTCATTGAACGTTTCAACCAGCGAAAATTTGATCTTGAATTTATCATAAGACAACAAATATTTTAAAAACATTACAATTTGGGTATAGGAAAATGTATACAGAAACCATTTGTATAATTTATTGTATCTGTATCAATTTATCAAATTTATTATTTTTTGAAATTCACGAAAAGGTATTATAGGTTTTAAAAATACATACATACAGCATAGTGTAAGGAACATTCATTTACACAGACCACATCGATATTTTCCTATCCCAACATAATACAATACCTAAGTATTGGAATTTCCAAAGATAATTCTTTACTAACTAACTAACCCAAACTAACACAAACCCCACATCTCACCCAAACTAACCCAAATCTAATTATTGTGAATAGGCCAATAAAATTGAAATGAGGTATGTGACTATGTGAGGGTTCTCGAAAACCTTTCTCTGGCCTGAATGCTCAGGTAGGTAAGGTAGGTTTAATCTATGGTTCAAAAAGAAATTTATGTTTTTCCTCGGTACAGAATTTTATGATATGTTTGTCATTTTTCCTGTTCCGTTAATAAAAATTATAATTTAACAATTGATGTTTGTTTGTTCCTCTGTGTTGTGGAACGCTTTATGCGGTATTTTTTGACATGAAACGCTCTTGGTGGTAAAAATAGCCTGTGAAGAAGACCAAATGTATGGTCGAAAGGCCGGCATAATTTTTTCAAAAAGGAAGGTTTATTTTTTATTTTTGAAGTCCTAAACCCATTATCTCTGCTCTGTCGTTGGTTGTTATGTATATTTTAAAAATTTGGTATAAATTTTTTTCAAGACTATCAAGACCAAGACCAAGACTATCAAGACCAAGACCAAGACTATCAAGACCAAGACCAAGACTGAGCCAGTCTTGTCTTGGTCTTGAAACATCAATACCAAGACCAATACCAAGACCGCATTTATTTTTCGAGACCAAGACCAAGACTAGCCAGTCTTGGCCTTGGTCTTGGCCTTGCGAAGCCCTAATTCCAACAAAAATCGCAAAAGCAACGTCACAAAAGGCTGATCCAAGTAGCTGGTAACGTCACTGTACTTGCGCGCGCTAACT